ACGCGTGCAGCCCTGTCTGCGGGCGGCAGACAACCGCCCCTGCCTTGCATGGCACCAGAATTCCAGGGCCATGCATGTGCAGTTCTCCTGCTGACACAGGGCTAAAGATGCATCCGGAAACAAACATCAATCCAGGATCTCAAGGGCTCACGAGAAATATAGGGCGCTGGTCCAGATTGAGTAGGTTGCAGCCGCATCAATCAGGGTCTGTAAAGCAGGGCGTCAGAGATTGGCAAGAGAAGGGTTATGCCTAACATGCAGCGGATGAGATGCGGTCACTTGCGCGGCGGGCCAACCATGCCGCCCAGTTCGGGCGGTGAAACACAAGCATAGGAGCTGTGGGCCCCAGGGCGCCCTTGCGCCCCGCCCCGACCCCTCTTGGCACGGCCCTGTCCGCCCCGTTCCCCCCGCGCCGCCGCCGACGCGTCGGCCGCAACGGATTCTACACCCCTGCAAATCGCCGCCAACGCGGCCTCTGCGCCGATCCCGCCCGCGCCTGCAGCCCCGCCCTTGCCCTTGCCCTGCCCGAGTCCCTGCCCCCCAGCGCCTGCGAGCTCGTCCGCACATCACCTGCAGGACTGTTCCGAAGATGGGCACAGCCGACTGCTTGAGGAAGAGCTTCTGCAGCGCCCCAGGGTCATCCGCAACGCCGGCCTCCTCCCACTTCTTCACGACCTGCTGCGCCACCTCCTTCTTGATGCCGCCCTACATTATATGTGATATGATGAGTCGGAATGATATCCGTTGTATGGGGTTGCGTGTGAAAGAACATTTGTGGACATCACTGATACATTGGGTCCGGCCGGTGGTCAGTTGGGGAGGTGGTGTGGTGGTGGTGGTGGAATCTTGCTAGCCATGCGCCGGTAGGAACGCCGGCCGCTCTGCGCTGACACGCACCGCGCCGCACCGCACCGCCGACGCCGCTGATGCTGTAAGGGCTGCCGGCGCCTGCCGCTGCTCTCGCCACCGCCTCGCCCATTGCCACCCGTTGAGACGGCGGCGCCGGCGGCTCGCCGCAGGGGGTGCCTCGCAGCTCCCCCTGCCTTCAAAACGCCACCCCGTCAGATTGCACCTTTTGCAGGGCAGCCATGAATTCTTCGATTTTCTTCTCAGTCTTCGGGTCTTTTGTACCGTTGCCATTGCCATCGCCCTGCGCGCAGACATGGAGTGGTGCCAACGCGTGGGGTGGTGCATTGCTCGTGCGCGCCGACGCGTTGCGCCATCGCTGCCAACACCCATCCCGACGGGAGGCGATACATCGTTACAAGTGGAATTAAAACCTGCATTTGGTCGCTTCGCAGACCCACATAGGTGCCACCGATGGGTGGGCGCCGCTGTGAGCGGGCGTGACACACCACCCCTCACCGCTGCTGCGACGACGCGGCGCGCACGCTGCACGCGAGCCCCGACCGCCGGCAAGGAACGCCTGGTGATCGTTCCAGTAGGCGCGACCGCCTTGAATGAGGTCTGCAGCATCATGTCGTTGCTGCGCTGTCTGATGAGAGAAGTGATGTAGAAAATACGCAGCAGCGGAGGAAGAAAACTGAAACAGTTGCAACGTGATAGTTTGCAAGAAGTATCATAAATCCACTGATGAAACAACGGGCTCGATCTTTCATCAGCAGTCTCTGGATGGATCCCGGAGACTGGCCTTGTGATTACGCGACCGCTTCAGAGGTGACAAGCTCTTGCAACGTGGTCATTTGTGCAGTACATGTACCGCTTATCCCTTGGCATGATGACCCCCCTGCTCACACCCATCTATGAACCAAGTGTTGACTCATTGACTCGCTGTCCATGCCGGCTGTGGGCGCCAGGGGCCGAGCTGTGTGAAAGCCCAAGGTTCAGTGCCACATGGGCCACTAAACACAGACATGCAGCACTCCTTCCCATTCACAGATGCTGTTCACTTGCATGCGCAGACACACGACCCATCTGACGTGCAGCGTACCACCAAAACAGTGAAGGCTGCGACCCACAAGACCAGCAAGGGCTGCGGACGACGCCAGGCGCTGTATTGTGAGGCCGCCCTCAAGGCACCTCCTCCTGCTTCAGGCCGCCCTCCTGCCCATCAATCCACTCGACGATATCAATGAAACCCCCAAACTGCGCGAGCCGGCGGCACGCGGCCGCGTCCCAGGGGCAGCCCGCGCCGCGCGCGTAGCGCAGCACGCGCAGGTGCCCGCCCCCCGCCGCCGCGGCGCACGTCTTCTCGTCCCAGGGGCAGCCGTGCTCGTGCGCATAGCGCAGCACGTCCAGGTGGCCGTTCTCGGCGGCCAGCCAGCATGTGTACCCCTTCCAGGGGCAGCCAGCCTCTCGGGCGTACCGCAGGGCTGCCAGGTGTCCGCCCTCCGCCGCGGCCATGCACGTCCGGTGGTCCCAGGGGCAGCCGTGCTCGTGAGCGTATCCCAACGCCGCCACATGGCCATTGCGGGCCGCGCCGTCGCACGTGGACACGTTCCATGGGCAGCCGTGCTCGTGCGCGTAGCGAAGGACGTCGACATGGCCGTGTGTCGCCGCCAACTGGCACACCAACGCGTCCCAGCGGCAGCCAGCTTGGTGCGCGTAGCGGAGCACGTTGAGGTGGCCGTTCTCCGCGGCCTGCCGGCACGTCGCTACATCCCAGGGGCAGCCGGCCTCGCGGGCATAAACCAAGGCGTCCAGGTGCCCCCCAATCGCAGCCGCCTCGCAAATGCTCGCACTTCTCGGGCAGCGGCCCGGCCCCAGCATCCAACGCAGCTCTGCCAAGTCGCCGGCGGCCGCCGCGCGCAGCGCCGCGATCGTCCGCTGGCTGGGGGTGAGCCGCGGCCACGCCTCGCGAACGCTCCACGCGGGCGGCATGGGGCCCACGGCTGCGCTGGTCGCGGCGAGCCCGGCGACGAATCGCGACACAGGCAGGGCCCGCGCCCGCGCGGCGGCGCGTCTTGGCTCCGCCCATGCCCTCCAGCGGTGCGCGAGCCGCGCGATCGTGGTGCACTGCTCCACGGGCGGCAGGCGCTCAAACACGAGCCCCATGATATCAACGTGCACCTCCAGCGGGGCCAGCTTGGCCCTTGTTGTGCGGCGTTCTGGAACCTGGAGGGAAGGTGGTACGGGTGCAGGAGATGGGGCTGAGGCTGCCGTTGGATGGCTGCATGTGCGCGTCTGTAGTGCAGCAGGCGCACACACAAGCGCAATACTGACATGTTGACCCGCCGATGCGCGGATGCCGCAACCACTGCATAGCCGTGCTTTCCCCTTCCACCCTTCCAATGACCTTGTATTCTATTTGATATGCTGCTCGCGCCTTGACCCTGTCCGGCGTAGATCACGATGTCACCGACATTTTCTCACGCTGTGCTTGCACAGAAGACAACACGACGTGTATGGAAATTTCACTTATGATGACATGCTACGGTACATCCCTGTCGGCTCTGCGGCGTGCGAACAGACAGGTGTTGGTGGCCCGTTGGCTGTGCCACTGGTGCCCCTGAATCGCCGATCTTGACCAGCGGTGACACCCCAACGTGATGCAATGCCAGACATGCACAAGCAAATTGGGTGCAGCCACCCCTCTGCATAAAGATGATGCATGGCTGACAGCATGCGCCTGCATGCTTGCTGCCACGGCGTCGGATATTGCAAGGTGACCTGCAAACACTAAGCCTGCCCATGGCTTTGCTCTCTTATCTGTGTGCGAGCTGCCAGAAAGAAAGAATGCTTGTGGAATACCAGCCTTTAAAGCATACGATAACACAGTGATACACCATATCTCTGGAGCAAAGCGGCAAGGCGCCATGACGGCAGAGATTACCAGTGTATGCAAATCCTGGCCAAGCCCTACACATCCGCCCCTGCCTCGCCGCCGCTGCTGCCGCGGCCGCCGCCGCCGCCGTGTGTCCTCCATCCACCACCACTGGGCCCCACCGGGGCTCCCGGACGCGCCAGTGCCGCTGCGGCCGCGCGGTATGCCTTCGTGGCGGCCTCCTTGGCGCCCTCCGCACCTCGCCTGGCATTTGCACGCATGTTGCGAGACATGACATCAGCAGCCGGGTCCCGGTTCGGATCTGCCCCTGCAGCTGCCGCCCAGATTTCGTCTAGCATTGGCAGCGAATCCAGCACAGCCGCGTGGCGCCGGCCCAGCTGCCGCATCCGCTCCTCCGCCTGACATGGGGCATTTGGGAGGTGCACGTGCATACATGAAATGTGCAATTTTGGATGGGAAGAAACAAGACATAAGCAAAGTCTCTAATGACGGCTGCCAGCTGACGCGCCCACAGGATAGCATGTGCGTCTGCACAGGATCACACCCTTCTGTCCAGCTCACGCCACCACATTGCGCAACCCATGGTGGTGACTTCCATTGGTCAGAGATTGTCATCTGCATGCAGGTGCAACCTGCAATATGCGATCTGCGATCTGCGATCTGCAATCTGTGATCTGTCACTCACCCAGCCGTACTCTTGTAGCAGCTCTGCAAACGCTTCTGCGTCCAGTACCAGCAGGCTGCAAGCCGACAGCGCGCGTATGCAGTACAGGCACGGCCATGCCCGCGCGCTGAAACCAGACTCGCGGCCCCATAGCGCCGCCAGCCGCGGCGGCAGCTCTGCCAGCGGCGGGACGGGCAGCAGCGCCTGCGGTCGTCGGCGGGGCCGGGTATGAGACCGAATAATTGATATTTCCCTCGGGCCATGGGCGCCCGCGCAGTGAGGATTTGTGAGCGCGTGGGGTTCCGCTCCAAAACAGTTACCTCAATTTAAAGCGCGCCGCGTGCCCGGAACCAGGCCCTGTTTGTGTTGCTGCACGGACAGGACCCCGCACTCGCGCGGCGCCCAACCCCACGAAAGTCAACACAAGTTGGTTGCGCGTCCCGCCCTCTCGCCCTCACCGGCTCCCCGAACGAGTCGCCCGCCGCCAGGGTGTCGACGAGCAGCTTCCCCAGGTACACGTCAGCATAGCCCCGGGTGATGAAGTACAGCTGCTTGTGGCATGTTCCTGGGATCACGATCAGCTGGCCTGCCATTGAGGAGGGGCCGACCCGTCAGCAAGGTGCGGAGAGTCAAGGTGCAAAGATCGGGTTTGGGGTGGGTGCCAGTTGGCAGGGGTGTGGGACGGCGGTGCAGCGGTGGCTGACGCTCAAGGTTTCAAGGAGCTACCTGTGGCTCGCGGCATTCTGAGCGAGCCTGCGGCAGACATATGCCGCGCTTGGACCAGCTGGCGTTTGGGGACGAGCAGCGGCGGCAAGCAATCAGTGCAAGGCGCTGATGACGTCTTGCGAGCCTCTAACAACAACCAAGCACGCACCGCACAACGACATCCAAGGCAACCCTCATTCACCCGCACGCACTGCAGTGAGTGGCTGCCGACCAACGACGACAGCCCCAGGCGCTGACATCACCGCACTCACCTTCTGGCGCCACCTGGTGTTCCACGAGCAGCGCAGTCCGCTGCAGCAGCTGCCGGCTGTCGCGCAGGACGGGCAGGCGGGACAGCGCCTGGCTGACGCTGGCGAGGGCGACCTGGGTGGGAGGGGGCGACGAAGGGATGAAGGGATAAATGGACTCCAGGCGGCAGGGGTTGGTTGTCAACGAAGCGATTGCTTAATTTGACAAATGAATTGAGTTAATTTGATGTGTCACAATTGCAGGCCACCTTGTTTCTTGAAGCTGAAAAGCACGGCAGAATGGTGCTGGTCAGTTTGGGGCCGTCAGGAGGCCCGTGCGCCAGAGGCGGAGCGAGAAAGCTTGTCTTCACGACGAGACCGTCAGCCGCACCTGCAGCCGCAGCGCGGGGGCGAGGCCCTGCATGAATGCGCCGCTGTCCTGCGTGTTCTCGTCGTGATGCTTCAGCTTCAGGTATGACATCACCGCCTGCTTCAGCGGCGGCGGCAGGCCGCGGCGGTCGACCTCCCTTTGGGCCTGCGCCGGGGACAGGGAGCGAGAGCGGGGCACGAGCCGGGCGTATCAGTTGGGAGAGCAGCCAGCGTGCATCAGCACCAGGTGTCACAGGCAGGCGCGGGCGCCGAGGAGCTAGGGCGGCAGAGCGCACCAGGGTCTCTGGGCCTCGCGTTTTGTGGAAACGCCGGGAATCGCCCTGCTGTGGGGTGACAACCGAACATGCGCAAGACAGGGTATGAGAAACACAGCGGGTGCCTCGCCTGCATTAGTAGCGTTTTGTGGCGGGCCTGCGCCGCCAGGAACTCCAGGATTGCTGATAAGATGAAGCCATTGACAGTGGCCCAGCCCCTGGGGTAGGCAACGGGGTCAGGCGGCCCGTGTCAAGGGGTGTTCAAGTGGTGGCAAGGGGACGGACGGCGTGCGGCGCTCATGCAATCCATGTTGTGGAAATCGCGTGCGCTGTGGCACAAGTATAAGGAGCTCGGGCACAGCGGGTTGTATGCAAAGTGCATCAAGAACATCGACCGATGACACACTATGCCAGCAGAGGATACGCTGCATGCGGCTGGGGCTGCAGTTGCCCAAGGACAGCACCGGCATGGACCCTGCCAGCGAACTGGTCAGAAAGCAACGAGATGCTCAGAGAGAAGCCTGCAGCTGAGCTCCTTATCCAGTTTCAAACAGCACTCAACCCACGGTCAAAGGGCCAGGTTCACTTGATCAAACTCACGCCGCCATGGTTATCATCTCGATTGTCCAGAGCACCGCCTCTGCGTATGTCACTGGCGGATATGAGCCATAACCCAGGCCGATCATGGCGCTGGTGACGGAAAATACTCCCCTGTGTGTGCACGTTGCATTTTGTGTGTGTGCGCGCGCTCAAAGAGATGTCGAGAGATTGTTTGATTGCTTGATGCAAGGATGTGTGTGCAAGTGATTGTGAGTGGATGGGCATATTTGTTCTGCGCGTCCATTGCATTTAGATGCTGTCATGCCCCACAAAGACACGCACACGGGCCTCAATCAGTCTTTGGCAGGCACACTGCTGTAATTGACTGCACCAAGGCGAGGGGCCTCAGACGTGCAGCAGCGCAGCGCGACCGACCCACCAGGTCCACGCCTCGTACACGTGAACGGGCCCGTCCAGCAGCTGCAGCTCCACAGGCCAGGTCTTGGGCGGGAAACCCTGGAGACGCCAAGGCGGTGGAAGGGGGTTGCCGGCGTCAGCGTTTTGCTCCAAAGCCGCATTCGAATCGAAGGAATAATCAAAGCAAGTTCGGCGGCTGCATGCGGCTTCCATGGAATCCCTATGTACCAATACAAATATGGCAGGTGATCTGCCCGGCCTGTGTTTAAGATTGCACACAGCAGACAGGTTGAGGCCCGCACGCGGGTCTTGGTGGAGTGCGGTACGCCAGGTGCCGCCCACCTGCACGCGCAGCACGAGCCACAGCGCACAAGCAAAGTAGTGCAGCGACAGCAGCAGCAGGGACGCTGATATCACCACCAGCCGCATGGAGTAGTTAAAGTTGTTGGAAAAAAACGGCAGCAGATTCACGACGCGGAAGGGGTCGCCGTGGGCGCGGCGGGTGATGGCGAAGACCTTGAGCATCCTGAGCGGCGGCAAAGGGTAGATCGTGGCAGCTACATCATGTAAGGAGGGCTGGTGAGCAGCATTGACGCCGACAGAGGATGGAACGGCTGTCAGCACGTGTGAAGCCTTAGCTCGAACTTGCTGGAGATTGTGACAGCCAGCATGGCCAGCAGCAACAGCAGCCCTCGTTGGAATGCCGTCATGCGATGACATCAGGATGACATCACCTGTTGAGGTATCCAGCGTTGAAGCTGTCCAGGCTGCGGTCTGCTGCCAGCACGATGCACTCAAGGGGCAGCGTGGACACAACGTCCAGGAGCAGCCACCCCTTGGCGTAAGTCAAGAAGACGATCTTGAAGTCATAAGAGTACTCCACCTGTCAAGGTGGTGACGGGGAAAGACCATAAAACGAGGCGTCGTGGAATGGTCACAGCATTCTCTCAAGGGCGCTGAAGTCGGGGCTGCGTCGCATCGGTGTCAAAACTTAGGCGGCTAAGACGAGGCAGCTTGCAAGAAGCGGAGCCTCGCAAAAGCGCGCAGGCGCGATCGCGCCGACTGAGGCAGCAACCAGTTGAACGCACCATGCCTGTTTCTCTGTTGAAGCGACGGACGCCAGTCAGGAAGTTGAGTACGATGTCCAACTTTGGAGTAATATGGTTTGCGATGGGATAGGATTGGGTGGAACGAGGTGGGATGAGTTTGGGCTTGCAAATGCTCCCGTCGTAATTAAAACCAACGGTTTGTCGGCCAGGCCCAGGCCGCACACTTTTGAGGAGTGCGCACCCCGCCGCTGCGCACACTGCAGCGCGGGTCAGACGCTTCGACCTCCTGGCGAGCTGGCTTTGTGGGTCAAAGCCTCCACAGAAAAGAGGCCACTCACACCCCTTCCCCCCGTCCATCCGCATGATCATCGCTGAGCCTCCCCTTAGGTGTCACGGACGGACGCACCATAAATGCTGCATTAGTAAGCGTCAGGAACTGCACGCTCATCGCCGGCTGCGGCGGCGCATGCGGCCCCGCCGCCGCCGCAGGCTGGTGGCCTGAAAGGAACACACACTCTGTCGCCGGCGCATAGAATGCGATCAGGGCCGGCACGTATATGATGAGCGCGGCAGTGAAGACGAGCATCAAAATGTCCCAAAAGAGTCTGAAAGGGCCATCGGGGTTGATCATGTACCATGGAGCCTTCGGGGCACCCTTGGGAGGCAGTTGAGGGCGTTGGGGAGGAGGAGGCAGGGCAGCCGTGTGCTTTCGTGTGTGCAAAACGCAACACACACGGCTGCAGCAGCTGTACGTATGCATGTGTGCACATGCACACGTGTATATGAGGATGACTGTGTGCAGATGTGTGCATGCACAAGTGCGCCGAAAAGTGTGTGTGTGTTTGTGTGTGCTGTCGTGTTGTGTGTGTGAATGTACTCGCACCCGTGCTTGTGTGCACCACCTGCTTGCGTGTGCGGCGAGCGCACCTGCAGCAGCGTCTCGTAAAGCTCCCGCGCCTTGGGCTGCGAGTGCGGCCGCAGGTCGCCCGACGTGAACGTCAGCGGGCACAGCGCCTCCTGCAGCAGGCGCAGCTGCCGCCGCGGGTCGCGCCGCCACGTCGCGCTCAAAGCATAGTCCTCCCCGACACCGCCGCCGCTGGGGCTGCCGCCGGCCCCGTCATCGCCGCCGTCGCCGTCGTGGTGGTGGTCGGGCGCAGCGTCGACAGGATCTGGCATGCTGCCTGCGCGCTCCAGTATGCGATGGTGGTCTTGCTCCTCCCACATGGGGACGCGCGACGAGAGCGCATGCACCAGGCGCCGCTGCGCCTGAAGGCTTGGCCGCCCCATCCGCGGCGCCATTGATGCTGCTGCGCGCTGGTGATGTCCCTGCTGCTGGGCTCTGACTGGCGGCACTGCGGGCGGCACACGCCGTCCAGCGCAGTATATGTCCTGCTAGTAATGCAAGCTACGCTGCCATTACGAGCATATTCTCGAGTCGTCTGCTGTAGGGGAGAATGAGCGCCAGTGTTTCCGGGTCATTGGCGAGATCGTTGCGCCGTCCAGCTGCATGATTGCTACAGGATATCGGTTCAACAGACACACACAATGTAACGCTGAAGTGGCTGCGGACGCTTGGTGTAACCCCTTTAGCCGAGAGGCACATAGGGCTGATCGTGATGCGTTCACGACACACACTTGAAAGGGGGGGCCAGCAGCTGGTGGGAAGGTGAGCGTTGCGCTTTGGGCTACTCTATTTGGCGTCTACGGGCGAGCTTGTGGACTGTACTGTAGAAGCGCCATATTGTTTCGAACACCATCATGCACGTCGCGGAGCGACACGCTGCAGCGCGGCTGGGGGGCCAGGTGGTGGGATACGGGTTGACCGCTTTCACCTTCATACATGCTGGCTTGGACTGCAGAGAAAGATTCACCAGGACGGGTTGGCAGGTGCCATAGCCTACGAGATGGTTTGATTCTAAGCGCAGCATTGCACAAGAAGGGGCCCACAGCCCTCCCGTTGCTGCTGCTGGGACTGTGTCTTGCATCCCTCACCCTGCAGCACCTGAGGCCCAGGCATGCGCAAGAATGTTGTGCATACCCTCACTCAAAGCCCCCGTGTGGCGAGCGCAGGAAGGCGACCTGCAGGGCAGGCAATGTCCCACGGGTGCGGTACAGCGCTGCAGACCACATGCAGGGCGAACCACAGGGCTACAAGGCGAGGGGCGGCACCATCTGGGCCCACTTGTGCTTGGGGTGCTGGCCGGGTTGGCCAGCAACAGTGAGCCTTCCAGCCCAAAAGCAAGATCGGTCACCAGGAGCTGGGGGGGAGGGAGGTGGGGCGGCAGCGCCGATGGCGTAATCAGCAGGCCGCTTCTCTCAGTGCAGGAACAAGCGAGGGTTGGGCCAGCAGCGGCTGACACCCCACCTGCACCCGTCGGCAACAACTTCCAGCCCCCCCTCCCTCCAGGCTCCACGCGCTGCCATTGACGCCGGGTGGACCTAGCCGTGCCTTGCAAAAGGCAAACGAAGCAGCTTTAGCGGCGCAGCGCCATAGCATAAGCAGGAGCGGAGTGCATTGCCTGAACGGAGCACGGGACTTGGGGGGCGTGCAAGCTACCAAAGGCGATCAGCGGCAAGCATACTCAAAATGCCTGCGCCAAATTTCGTTTATTTGTGCCTATGGCTGCCTCTTCAGAAGGCGGCCTCCAAGCGCGCATGTTGCTTGACTGGAATCAGTCAAGAATACAGGTCTGCCGCACCGGAATGCAGGTCCACAGGCAATCAGTGGAGGCGGCCGAGTCAGTGGCGGTCAGCAGGTCAGGGGCGGTCTAGTCAGGGACGCAGCACGCGGCCTGGTGGGCCTTGGTGCGTGGCTGCTCGTGCAGCCGAGTGTCTATAAGCGTTGTTTTATGGTCACAACTTGAGGTCCTAGCGCATGGCGGCAAGTATGTACCGTATGCGAGTGCGAGGACAACCGCGGCCCACGCCTAGTGTCGAGGATGAGAGGAGTGACCAGATGACACACACACCCGCTGTCTGCTTGCCTGCCACTTAGGATCATGAGGTGTTCGCAAGACTACACGAGTTATTGGAGGTATATCGTATCGTGTCCACGTCGTACAGTCTGCGCTGCGAGACTCGTGCTTGGTTCGCACCGTGGGTGAGAGATTCAGAGTCATCTCGCTGTCTGTCGCCCCACGATGCTGCTGAGCCAGCGTAGATGTCCAGCTTTGTCGTGTCAGCCTTCACGAGCAAACGACCGGAGCCTATGGAGGCGCGCCACCGCCCGACGAACCGCGCCGCTGCGTCGCCCGCTCCAATGGCGAGCCCGTTGGTGCCTCTGCCGCTGAGCCAGGCGGCGGCCTCGGCAGCCCAGGGCCAAGCGAGGCGCCATGTGGGCAGCCCGCGAGCCAGCCGCGGCATGCAGGGGCCAGCGACGCAGCCGAGGCTGGTGAACCAGCGGCACCAGACTGCGAAGCCCCAGGAGATGGGCCGGGCCCTGAGGACATCCGTGCCCTCGCCGCTGAGCTGCAGGATCGCGGCACCGCCCTGCGTGAAAGCCTGCTGTCCCGCGGCCTGATCGACGACCGCGGCGCCGCCGTGCTGGACTCCTACGCCGACCTACAGCGGCGCGCCAACGCCTTCTTGGCTGACGGCTGCGATGCGGTCGCCACTGCGGGCAGCAGCACAGGCCTGGAAGGGGACGGGGGCGGCGGCGGCGGCGAGGGGAGCAACGGCGGCTCTGCGGCCTACCGCTTTGTCACAGATTTTTTTGAGGAGCTCGACAAGGCAGGGCTGGACAACATCAGCATCGGTGGCGCCATCCTGCTCTGCGACCCGCTGACGCTGTTTGGGATGCAGGCAGGCAGCGGGAGCGCTCAGCTGCTGTCTTTGTCCCTGGCAGCCGCGCTGGAAGGCCGGTTGATGGCGGCGCTGCAGGAGATGCCGGACTGCTTCCTGCCTGCCGAAGGCATCAGGTCGGTGGGCAGGGCACCCGCGCACAGGCTGTCGGGCATTGGGCATGGCGGCTTACGTGTGTCAATCCAGCAATAGATGTTTGTGTCTGACGGCTGACACAGTTCTGGGTCGTCAGCGTTCTGGGTCGTCAGCGTGCATCTCTGCACCCATCAACAAATGTGACACCTCAACCCTGCACCGACCGCTCGCAATCTGCCGCATCGCGCGCTTGCGCAGGCATGCGCTCATTTTTACGTCCGGACTCTTGCATGCTTGGGTTTTTGCCGCTTGCCTCGAGGGTGCGTCGCCTTTTGGCACCACGCCACAGCAGCACATCGCAACGGCTTGTGATTGGTCGGCAATGCAGCCGGGCGTGGCCCACCTACTCCTCATGAGTGAAGGGTCCGGGGCACAGGCGCGGCTGCTCCAGGCCTTGGCTGCAGAGACAGTGGGCGCAGCGGCGGCGCTTTCCTGGCGTAAAGTGCTGCTAGGCGTGGTGCGCGACGGTGGCGGCAGCTGCAATTTTGTTACATGCACGGCTGATGTGCAGCTCCGTCAGGTGCGCCGCAAGCTCATGTGCCTTTTCCCTCGCCCGTGCGGCGCGCACATTCATTTTGCTGGTTGCGGGCTGACTTGGCCGTCGAAGCCGTTTGCTTGCATCACCCACTGCGTTGTGACGCTCCAACTGCTTGGAATGTACTTTGAGTGGCATGTACCATATTTCTTTGGCCGGGGCTTTCGCCATAACCGTCTGTCGCCCATACATGCACCCTGGTTCGCACCAGGTGGCGGACGTGTTGGGTCAAGTAGCCCAGTCAACACCCATGGTGGTGAACCTCCAGCCGACTCTGTTGTGGGCCGCAGGGCAGGCCCTGAGCACCCTTCTGGCCTTGGATCCATCCTGTGTGGCCCCTGATGATGAAGCGGTACGTTTGGCTGGGTGCCTGGGAATCAACGGTGCGGAGCGAGTCCGCTCTGGGTTATGTCTGCTGTGCTTTCCCGTTCCCCATTGCTCTGTGTGCTGTTGCTTGACAATTGTGCACGTGCCGCAGGCGATGGTTAAACTTGCCACGCTGATGGAGAGCTGCGACCGCTTGGTGAAGCAGCCCGGCGACTGGCGCGTTGAGAGACCGTTGGGATTGACACACGCAGAACAGCTGTGCTCCCTTGTTACCTTTGATGCCCTGTGCACATTGTCCGAATACCACCACCACCGGGGGGATGTTGACGCCGCGCTTGGATGGGCGCGGCGGGCGCTGCTCACTTGGTTTGCGGCCACCACAGCTGGCCAGGATGGCGACGGCATACCGGTGAGCTGCTGAGAGCTGCCTGCAACAGGCAGCACGGCCTGACAGTGGCGACCCTTGGGGCGACGCTGACATGGTGATATTGCATCACGTCTTATGCTGAGCTGCTAGTCGTAGCGTTCGACTTGAACTGTCAATCAACCCCTTTGCCCGGGGCGAATTCCCACACACGGGTGTCAAGCACATGCAAACCCCATTTCAACACCCGTTGTAATCCTTCCTCCAGGAGGTGCACCAGAACAGCGCCTGCCGCCCCTTCTTCTTCATGTGGCGCGACATGATGCAGCTAGCTGGGGAGGGCCACGACCCCCAGCAGCTGCTGGGCGTCAGCCACGCCGTGTGGCTGCTCAGGCGCGTGCTGGCATGCTCTTGCTCTCGGTGAAGCATTGGTGATCCAGCAAAAAGTGCCTGTTTTGAGTGATCACTGCATCCCCACCAGTCCGAGATGCGCTGACCATCCCCTCCCTGCTCTCAGCTTCAAACACACCGACTCCTCCTAAACATCACTTTCTCTCCCGCCCAGGCGCTACCAGTGCCTGGTGCAGCGCTTCATGGTGCTGCAGCTCGAGGAGGCGGGCGCAGCGGGGCCCCAGGGCGGGGCGCTGGGGGAGGCGGCCTGGGCGGCCACGCTGTGGGCGGTGGAGGGGCGCTCCTGGCGCCCGGCTCTCCCTGGGGTGTGTCGAGGGCTGCAGGGAGGTCTGATACGCCTTGGCTGCTGGGATGTGGTTCTTACTGCGACCGTGTACCATGCGTTCATACGTGTTCACAAGCTTCCTGTGCCAGCTGCCACTTGAATCTCAGATCTGAAAGTTCTTGCAGGCTGCCCGACGTTAGCGCGGCCACACCTGGCCTCGTTCGTGCAGGTGCCGGCTGGTCTGGGCTCCCACCAGAGCTTCCCCTCGTCATTTTCAGTAAGCAAGTTCCTTGGCGCATCATCTCCAGACAGCCGCGTCATGGAATTTTACTACAGGTTCTGCTGCGGCGACACCGAAACCCCTGGCCCGGGGGAGGACCCCTGGTGAGGTCCTGCCCTCATGCTCATGGCTGCGGCGCTTTCGGGCGGTAGCAGCTTCATACTGCAACGTCAGGCCGGCACCGCCCTCTGACGGCCAGGGGCGCGGCTGCCTTACCGGGATGCGTGCATGTTCAATCCTATCCCCCAGGTGGCAGTACATCGCCGCTGAGGTGGACGTGCGGCAGTACAGCAACGGCTGCCATGAAGCCCTGGCCGCGCGGCTGCTGCGACCCACGCCCGCCTCCTCGCCCCTGTCAGCTGACAAGGCCGGGTGCGTTTGTTGCCCACCTCCCTCCCGAGCTGGTTTATGCGTGCATGCGCAGGCCCTGACGTCCTTTAGCATCTTGTATGTCGCCCGTCTGTGCAATACGGTACGCGCACCTTCCCAACGCTGTCGTCCTTTGGGGTCGCAGATGGGTCTTGGAGCCGCGCGCAGGACTGCAGATGCAGGTGCCCCTCTTCATGCATCACGCGTCGAAAACATTGTTGCGACCGAAGCATTTCGAGCCTGGCGGCGCGGTGACCAGTGGCGGACTGCACGCGGGCGCGTGCGAGGCGCTAGCATTTTCGACGCTGCCGTTCCAGCTGAGGGATCCCATCATCAAGGCGCGGTGCCTCATCAGCACGGGTGTTTTCGAGGCGGGCGCGATCTCCGCCAGCAGCGCTGGCGCCCCGGGCGTGTCGTGGCTTGTCCACGCCGCCAAGGCTGCGCTGCAGACGGACATGGCTGCCGGCGGCCTCAGCAAGTCGGAGCGGCTCATGCTGCAGTGCTATGTATCGTTCGCCAACCTCAATTTGTGCTTATCCCTGGACGAATGCCTCGTGGCCTTTGACGCCGCGCACGGGGCGGTCACCGCCGCTGCCGCGCGCGGCCCCAAGCTCGACGAGGCGCGAGCTGCGGGCTTCGGCGCGTGCATGACCATCCTGGACATGGCAGCTGCCATCCTTGCAGAGCGTCATAAATTCGGGCGCTTGGATCTCTTGCTGCAGCACGGGCCGCTTTCCAGCAGTGTGCAGTTTGGGCATCTGTACAAATCCATGTTGAAGCCAGGCGAGGGCTGCAAGCTGCGCGACATCTTGGTAAGCAGTTTGACGTGCGTTGTCAGCCGGCGTCTAGTCCGCGTGAAGGGCCTAGGGTGCAGCAGCATGCGTGCACGTGCCTGTGCATGCACGCACCTGCGCACGTGTGTGCGTGTGGATTTCCCTCTCGTTTTCTCCCTTTGTGCGTGCACACATGCACACGCGCGCGCGCGCGCGCACACAGGCACACAACACACGCGCGTGTACACACGCACGCGCGCCCGTACGTGCACATGCATGCATGCGGGCGTGCATGAGCGCGAGCAAGCCTGCATTCATGCGTGCTGGTAAAGGCAAGCGTTTTTGCAAGCGTGTGCGCTTCACATCACTGTCATGGCGCCTGCTGGGTCCAAACGGTGCTTTTTTGCGCGTTGGCTTGCGCACCCTCATCCGATGCGGACACTCCTCGCCTGCAGGCCTTCCTTAGGCGCCCGCCCAGCGCGCCCATTACCGGCGCGGACCCCGCCCTCCGCGCCAGCCTCGTGCCGCGCCTGAGGGCGACCGCGTCTGCAGCTTGGATTGCAAAGCTCGGCGACGATGGCGACTCAGTCGGGCTCACACTCCTTGCCACGACGCTTGGCGGCGGGACTGCTGCTGCTGCCGCTTCAGCTGAGGCTAGTGTCAGCGAAGAGGGCAGGCGCCCCGTGCCGCCGCCTGCAGAGCTGCAGCTGCTGTCAGAGGCAGTGACGCGGCTGTGCGCATTGTCAGATGGGCTTGATCGTGCGCTGCACTGCATGCGCGTGCTGCCAGGGCCGCTGCCGCCAGCGGCCGTGGCGACGGTGCTCCGGCGTGCATGGGGAGATGAGGAACCACACAGCGTGTGGGGTGCCTGCAAGTCGGTCAATGCCTGGAGGAATGCAGAGGCCTCAGCCCAGGCGGCGGCCACCCTGGACGAGCTGTTTTTGGGGTGGGTTGAGCAGCAGCAACAACAGCAGCAGCAGCAGGCGGAGGAGGAGCAGGAGCAGGAGCAGGAGCAGGAGCAGGAGCAGGAGCAGGAGCAGGAGCAGGAGCAGGAGCGGGAGCAGGAGCAGGAGCAGCAGCAGGAGCAGGAGCAGCAGCAGCGGCAGCAGCAGCAGTGGTGGCGTGGCTACATGAGCATGGTCAGGGGCCTTGCAGCATCGTATGCATTGCTTGGCGCCGCACCGAGCCAAGTCGTGGCTGAGGTGCTACTGCGTTCGCCAGTATCATGGCTGCAGTTGGCCGAGGTACTGCACCTTGTGTGCGGCGACCCCTTTGCCGCCGCGCCGCTGGCGGAGGCGCTGATTTGTGGGGCCTGCGCTGCAGACAGGCTCGCGGTGGCCACGCTGCTGCTGCGCGTGGCCTGGAGCAACGGCGCGCTCGGGCCTGCGCCCTGCGGCCGTGCTGTGGGCGCCCTGGCTTCCCGCGCGGCGCTGCTGCCGGATACCAGGCTGCGAACGCGGTGGGCCCTCGGCCTGCTGCAGCTGGCGCGCGATGGCACGCTGCCCCCCAGCTTGGCAGGCGGCGCGGGGCCCGCGGCGGAGGCGCGCCTGCGGCGCAGGCGGCCGCTGCCGGGCGCGCCGGTGGCGCTTCCCCATGCGGCGGCGGCGGCGCTGCTGCAGCTGGTGGCTGAGGACAATTCGACCACTGCTGCCGCTGATGTGGTGGCTGCATTTCAATTTATCACAAGCGCCCAAGGCGGCGGCCTGCCTCTCAGCGCAATAGGTGCTGCCAGCTTGAGCGCTGTCGTGGCGGCATTTGCGGCACAAGGCAAGCACGAAAATGCGTGGCAGTTGGTGCAGCAGGCCGGCGGCAGCGGCACAGGAGCGGCAGCAGGGAGTGGTGCAGGCGCCAGCCTGCTGGCCCAGCTTGTTGGGGTCTGGGAGGCGCTGCCTGTCAGCGACGTGCCTTCGCCATTGCTGCGCGCGGCGGCTGACGCGGCGGCGACGGCGGGCGCGGGCTCGCTGGCAGGGCGCCTGCTGGGGCTGCTGGCTGGAGCCGAGGGCACCAGCTTGGCGGCAGCAGCGCTGAGCTTGAGCGACGCGGCACTGACGGCGCACCTGCTCTCACAGCTGGATGCGGGCGCCAGGTCAGCGGCGGCACTGGGGGCGGCTGCAGACTTGGCAAAGGCGATTGTCGAGGCGGGCTGGCAGCTGCCACAGGGTACGTGGGGGCAAGTCCTCGCGCTTTGCAGCGGCGGCTTCCCAGCATTCGCACGGCTGGCACTACTGGCCCAAGAGCAGCTGCTGTCAGAGGCGACCGCAGCGATTCAAGCAGCAGAGCGTAGCAGTAGCAGCAACGACAGCAGTGCCCCGGCGGGCCAGCCGCTCGCCGAAGCGCTGCTGGCTGCGCTGGCGTCGCCGCTGATGTCAGGAGAGGCCGCGTGTGCCGACGGCGCTGCCGCAGCGGCGGCTGCGGCGGCAGCAGAGGCGGAGCCGCTGGACCAGCAGCGGCTGACAGCGGGCTGGGCGGCAGTGGCTCAGCGTGCCGCCGGCTTGAGGGTGCAGCTTGCAGCCGCCTGCGCCGACGCAGCCGAGGCGTCGCCGGGGCACTGGCTGCGATTTTCTGCCGGCTGCAGGCGGGAGGAGGAAGCGGCGGCGCGGCGGCTGGCAGTGCTGCTGTGCGCGTCGGCGGGGCTGTCGGAGGCGGCGCTTCAAATGTACCAGGAATTTCGGCATGCGGGCGGTCAGCCTGAGCTGGAGGGGGGCCTGCTGGAGGCGGCGCTGGCGGCGGCGCACGATGCGGGGGCTGAGGTTGCGACCGGGTCTGCAGGTGGGCATGGAGGTTGTGGGGCTGTGAGGGCCAGAAGGTTGCGTCAGCTTGTTTGGTATGGGCTTTCTGGGCTTCTTAAGGATGGTTGCAGCAACCACTGCAGCAGCCACCCCACCTGAATTCATGGGGTGCTCCGACAGTGCAGCTATCTGGCGGCCTTGTGCAGGTGTCCCCCTTCTAGGCCCATGAACATATCCAGTCATTGCTACACACACATATCCCCTCGCACATGCGCATGGGTGCACATTCAAACCTCCCGTCGCCCCTCGCCTCCAACAACGCAGCTCCCGCCGCCATCCTGCGCACGGCACAGTCCCTCTGCCCGACTGGCACCACCTGGGTGCCAGGCGCCCCCATCGCATGGCGCGCGTTGTTCGCCACACTTACCAGCAGCGCGGCCAATGGTGCTGACAGCAGCGAGGCGGCCGCGGCCGCGGTGCGGGCGGTGGAGGCGCTGCTGCTTGACAGCGATCCCCTGTGGTCAGCAGGGGGCCAGGTGGCCGTCCTGCCTTCAGAGGCGGCCGCAGAGGGCCTGCGCGCGCTCGTTCCATGGGCGCCCAGCGCGCCGGTGGGCGCGGCGGCCGCTGCTCAGCGGCTGCTGACCACATGCGAGCTGCGGGGCGGGCAGCAGCAGCAGCCTCACGCCCCCTCACCTGTCCAGCGCGGCGGCTCGCCAGGTGGCAGCGGCAAGCGCAGGGGTGCTGCTGCTTCATCGCACTCGCCACGTGCGGCAGGCGTTGGCGCCCTGCGGCCAGCTCTGCCCCGCGCTGATGCCGGCATCTACTCGGCAGCTGCTGCCGTGCTGGCCGCGACTGGTGACGTTGCAGAAGCTGTCAAGCTGCTCGCGCCGCTCATCTCTGGTGCCAAGGAGCAGGCGATTGCAGTTGCATCTGGTGGAAGTAGCAACTGTCTCAACACTCAGCAGCAGCAGCAGCAGCAGCAGCAGCAGCAGCAGCAGCAGCAGCAGCAGCAGCAGCAGCAGCCGCATGCGCAGCAGCAGCAGGTGGCCGCTGATTTGCTGTGCCTGCTGCCTGCAGGCCGCCGCGCTGCGGCTTTGGCGCCGGTCCTGCGGCTGCTGGCTGCGGGGGGCGTGGGTGCGGTGACGTCACCTGCCCTGGTGGAGGCGCTGACTGGGGAGGACCTGGTGAGATGAGGGCGCTGCCGGGGTGCAGGGCTTTGCATCTCGTGCCACTCAAGAGTACTCGCAGTGGCAGCGCGCTTTTGCTTGCGTGTCATGTGAAGGGGTTGTTCATTCCATGTCCTCCTCTCTTTAACCCAAGGCGATCAAAACTGCCTCACTGCCATCCGCGCACCCAACCCCCCAGGATGCTGCAGCTGAGGCTGACCTGGCAGAGGCGTTTGGGGAGAGCTTTGTAGAGGATCTGATGATGGCCGCATTTGAGGGCCTGCCCGTGCTGGGCGGTGGCGACAAGGGCTCTGCGCAGGACAGTGCTGCGGCGGCCAGCCTGGCGCTGCGGGCTGCGGGCGGAGACGAGGGCACCAGACGAGTTGCGGCTCTGCGGGACTTGCTGCGCGCTATCGGATGACTCGACATCGTCACTGCGCAGGTGGTGGCAGTGCCAACGAAAGCTGAACGTCAAGCACTCAACCACTGGCTTGCAGCTCAGCACTGACCTTAGTACAACACACTTCTATGGCTTGTCAGTCTTGGCCAAGGGAATCTGCACGCCGGCAGCAGCCTACATGCATTGCAACCGAAGCAGTTCTGCTGCTGCTTTGTCAGCCCTCACTGGATGGCTGGGGCACATGCCGCGCCCCTCTTGCGGGCACTGCGTGTGTTGTTCGCTCACTGGCTGGGTTGGCACACCGTGCACTTCGTTGCTTAGCAAGACTCGCGGGTTCGCCGCTGCAGGGTTGTGGTGTGGCGGCTTGTGCATTTACAGGTGGCAGGTCATCCTTGTTGACGCATCAGATGTTTGAGTTCACTCACACGTGGGTTTCTCATGCCCATCTTCCCACCCACCCGCCTTCAATCCTAGTCAGACCGTTTGCAACACACGGCGCTCAGGTGTGCAATCCTTCTTGCCCGCAATCCATGTGAAGTCCTGCTGGCGTGGCCACGCGTTTGTCGCTCACACGCGGCGGCGTATGTTGACACAGACCGTGACGACGCTTGCTGCCGGGCCTTTAAAGAGTACAAATGCAGCTATGCACGTGCAAACATCTGGTTTCTAAATCAGTTCTTTGGTCTACAGTACACATTGCATCGTTACCTCCCAGCCACGGGGTGCGCAGCAATATGAATCACACCTCTCTATTCCCCTTCACGTATTATTACAGTCCCAGGCACACAAGTGACTGCGATCAAACCCTCTGCCCGACCTTTACTCACTACGTACGAGGGCTTATGGCGTCTGGTCCTTGTGTAAGTGGCCCCCTCCGCGTGCGGCGGCTTGTATACACAGGGCGGGGCACAGAACGACACGGGAACAGCAGGTTTCATGCATGGGGGTTGGGTTGCTGTGAAAATGGCTGCACGGTGGTTTTGTGGAATGGATGGGGAGCAGCCAGGCCTGTGACTCGCGCGTGCCGCACAGGGTGTCGCAGCCCTGACATTCCCAATTGAACCAGGGCAAGGCACGGCGCACAAATACTTCAAAGGGCGCAATGCAGCTGTGATCATCATGATTTCATTTCAGTGGTCCCAAGGGTACCGTGGGGGGGCTCGTGTGCAACTTGCCTGCATATCAACAACAGCCGCAAGTGGCGCAGTCCAGGCTGCGCCTCTTGAAGCGCCTCCTCCCAGATATCCTAGCCGCAGAAACGCGTGCCAGGCACCTGGTCGTGGCTATTCAATAGGCACACAACACCAGAGATGGCTTGCCAGACTTTGACAAGAGAGTTGCCCAAATTGACAGGCGTCATCGAGCATAGTCAAAAGCCATCACATGCTTGTTTGGTAGAGCTTCAGCAGTCGCCAAAGATCAAAGGCCACCGTATGGGGTGCAGGGCCATTTGCAGTCGGCGGAGGCGACCACCTCAGAGGCGGTTGGGTCGGGGCGCTCTAGTTGGGGACACAAAAGGAAGCGGCCTGGCAACGTGGGTTTTGCCGCGTGGCTGCTGGTAGATCGAGTGTAGCAAGTTATCATAAAATCTTGATGTTTGATGACAGAGAGAGGTCCTCGCGCATCGCGGCGGTTATGTGTGCGAGTGCGCGGACAACCGTTGTCCATGGCAGGTGTCGCAGCTTGGAGCGACACGCTGACGCACAAACAACAGATGTCCGATGCTTGCATGCCACTTAGGATCATGATATGGTCTCAAAAACTGCTAAGTATTTCAGTCATCGTGTCGTCCACGTGGTGCAGTCGGGGCGATGTCCGTGCTTCGTTCGCACGTCTGTGAGATCCAGAGTCAACTCGCCGTCCGTCGCCCCGCGATGCTGCTGGGCCAGCGCAGATGCCTTGGTTCATCGTTCCAGCCTTCATACGCAAAAGGCCAGA